GAACTGCCATATTTAGAAGAATAATAAGTAATTACCATTCCCAAATGCTTTTTATAATAATTAAATAATGTGATTTTACTAATAGATAAAGAAATAGATATTATAATGAATTATAATCCCTAAATAGTAGCCAATTGAGAAACAAGAATTAAACCTATAACATCTAATACCAAGGTGCTAAACACTCATAAACGAATCATTCAATGACAAATAAAAAGCTACTTAATAGTAGTGATTATAGGACTAATCGCTATAGGGGCAATAATATGGTTACCAAGTATAAAGACCACCAATTAAACATCACTAGCTATATGGAAGTCTTTTTGCAAGCTCTATAAGTTACTATATTACTCACAAGCAATAGCCCCTATTTACTACAAGTCAGATGATGAGAAAATCAACCTTCTTCAATTGCGGGATCTAAACCCCCTTCCACTCACCAAAGCAACTCTTGAATTATGAATTAAGAGTTTTGAAGCTAACCCCTTAGGCATTGTTGTCTCTTTCTCCCTCGATGGTTAGGGTAGATTAAAGGTAAGAGTTTTCTCCTCTCTTATGAGAGTTTCTTTCTCTCTTGTGAACGTTTCTAAAGGTTTCTACCTTGACTTTTTTGATATCTTTTATCAAAATTCATTTTTGTAGGAAGAGGATGACAACTTGAATGCAATATTGGTTGGACTCCAGATTAGTTGTCACATTTGTTTTGACTGTTGAGGGCATGGTTGGGGATGGAATCCCTAGCTAAATTTTTTTGCCCAACCAATTTATCTTCTGTTTGGATAGATTAATTTTTGAAGCTAAAAGAACACTTAAAATTTTGGATTATTCTATAAAAAATGTTTGGCCTCTAGGGCAGCTCGTTAATTCAATTGAAAAATGATTGATTCGCATTAGGTTCAATACACTTTTTGATACTTATCATAATTCATCTATTAAAATATAATATAAATACAATCAATTTAATTAATTCCTACATTTTGTACTTATGATTATATTTTTAAATTTATATGTCTTTAATTTCATATAAAAAAATAATAAATTTTTAATAAATGTAATATGCATTCTATACAACCATAATATACATTAATCACTATCCAATTCAATTATGTTACTTAGTTGCCAAGTTTTCAATTTTTTTTTTTTCAATTTTCTTCTTTCTCAATGCGTATAATTAATCTTTTGTGAAATTGTATTCACTTTTTAAGAATGAGATATACCTAATGTCGACATTGAAAAAGACTCGCAAACTGTCCTTATTTTTGTTACCTTATTTGAAGTTTTGTTGTAATAACCTAAAGGCATTTGCATATATATTATGGACAACAAGGACCTTGACTTGCAATTTCAACCAAGCAATATTTATCTTGGCCAAAATGAAAAACACAAATAGCTCATTATTCACTTTTTGCTTTTATTGCCAAAATTTTAACAGTATTTTTAATAAAAACTCTTTAAAAAAAAAACCAATGACATGTATTCACAAGAAGTTTCCAAGATTTTGGAAATGTTTTACAAAAAAGAAAAAAAAAAAGCAGGTACTAAAATTGTATGTTTGTTTTCAAACCTTGATAATATTTATAAAGTGGATGAGGAGGGGCAAAAAGAAAAGAATTGTCTTTTTATTAAATAATTCATCATTTTAACATACCAAAAAAAGATATTTATAAAGTAATTCACGAGCATAGAATTTGACATTTATAACTCATTCTAAAAAGAAATTCTTGATTTTTATTCTAAGCTAAATATAGGTGTCAATAAGGAGGAAAAACGATTTTCTGAACTAAACACAGTTTTAATTTTGGTTGTTTGTTTTGAAAACTTACTAAATAAGTCAGGTTTTGTTTTTAAATTTTTTTGTTGGTTTTTTAATTTTGGTTGCCATCGAATTGCTAAATTTTTGGCAAAAAAAAAAAAAAATGGAAGTGTTATTATACAAACACTTAAATTTTTTATTTTTA